AAAAAAAAAAAAAAACAATCCGGCTCTCCGCGAACTCCATGAACTCCCATGTGGTGAACTCCGTGAACTCAATGACCGGTTTCCATCCACAGACCCTGTGAACGGTGAACGGGGGTACGACACTGTCCAAAACCATGGCGATTTTTTTTAGAGAGGGTGCAGGTAAACATGTAGGAACACCTATGGTATCCCTGGATGAAATTACTATAGTGGCTAGTGAGGCCTCGGAAACAGTGAAGTTGTTTGGCAGATGTCTGAGATGTGGGGACGGGTCACTCTGCAATTGCAGTGATCTTTGCGTTGTCCATGTGGATACCCTGGTCAAATACATGGTGTCCTAGAAAGTCCGCTTTGCGCTGGGCAAAGTGACACTCACTAAGCTTCGCATAGAAGTCATGCTTGCGTAAGCGCTGTCGGACCTCGCGGAGGTGTCTTAGATGGTCTTCCGAGGAACGACTGTAGACCAAGATGTCGGCCCCAGTATAAATTAGGGGACGTAGTGCAGGTAAGAAAATGTGCTCGCTAAGGCAAGTTAGCGCCATGATTCTTCGGGCGATTTCACGTAGTCGAGCTCGGTCCAAGCGGAGTGAACACGGTGCGGCTTGCACCGGAGGTCTCAGGAAGTCAAACCGCTCGGCCAATCATTCAACACGTGTCCTACCCTCGTCCCTTGCCTCCTTCTCCTTCTCCTCCATCGTCTATGTCATCCTTCGGTTCCGTAGAGGAAGGCGACGACCTCGAACTCGACTATTTCGATTCTCCTTCCTCTTAACCTTCGTCTCTACCTTCTCCCCCATCGCCATGAGCTTTCCTACCGAGCAGGTCATCAGCGAGCGTCTAATGAGACCTGGGGGGCACATTGTGTCGATCCGGCAAGTGCAATGACCACAACTTAGTCCAGATCTGCTTTGATTCATGACTTTCTTTAGTACAACGGCCATCCACTTGGTGGCGGAATTTCGGTTCGCACGAACCAGTGATCGGACGCGAGTGCTGGCCGAGGTGTCGGCATTTCTGCGGCTGCTCCGCCTGGCATCAGCCACGTGTCAATAATCGTCGCTTTCACCGGCGACCTTACGGCGCTGCATCCATCATGCCATATGGGCGCCCTCTGGCAGCTGCGACTCTGGGCGTGGGACCTCACGGATGCGTGGATCCAGCTGTTAGCTCGGCAAGGCGATAGGATCGACTCCACCAACGACGTTGACCTCAGCCAGCTCAGGCTCTCTCTTACTACGCTGGAGGTCATCATCCCGAAGCTCCTTCCCTTCGCACCGCCTCAATGAACTAGCACCGCCTCTCGACCTTCGGACTTCCTTTAGATCTCCCTACCTTCTGGCAGTTCGCTACGGTCGTCCCTCTCTCTTTTCGGATCAGGCAGCTGGATGTGCCGATCCTTGACGCCGGCAAGTGGGTAGAGTAGTGGAACGTGTACGTTGCGCTTAGCTTTTGTCTCCTCGAGGTGGTGTTCCATTGGGCGGAGCCGACTGATAAGGACGAAGAAGACGCAGTCCCCCAGACTATGTTAGGCTGCGGCTCTTGTATTCCGATTCTGGAGAAGATTCCAGGTCGTCGCCCCTCCGTGATGTAGAGCTCCCAGTTCCGATCTCTTATCTCTGTCTCACTGGCCTCCTGATCGTCTCCTTCTCTCTCCACTGGCCGTCCTTGTAAAGGCACCAGTGAGGCAAACCGACCCTGGCTGACTTGGTGGTGGAAAGGGGGGGGTGTTGGGTGGGGTGGGGTGGGGTTGGGTGTGGGTGTGGTGTTACTGTTAAAAAAGACTCTATGGTGTCTACCTAGAGAGTCCCAGTGGGGACAGCAACCACTGACATAAGTTGAGTCTACCTACAGAGTCTCGTTTAACTAAGGAGGGTTTTGATTTATAGGGCGATTGCCTTGAGGTAATATCACCGGACTAACCAGCCCAGGTAATTCAATCTTGTGTCTAATCTGACACCAGGTGGCCTTTTCAGCCCAGGGTGGCCTTGTTGCCTTCAGGGAACCCCAATGGGGGACACCAGCGAGGGGGCAGCCGGTAGCAGAGGGACGGAGCATCATCTGAGTGGCCAGTCACTGTGCCTTCCTGATTGACCCTTCCCCAACCCCGATTGCCCCTTCCTCAATGAACATCAGCAGAGACAGGTTTCTTGATGCCCAGGAAGGTACATGAGGCCAATTCGGACCTCCTGAATGCCACTTGCGTGCCACTTGATGGGTTTTGATTTACGATGCACATCGTCTCCCTTCTTTTAAAAAACAAACGAAAAAAAAAGAAGTAGCGGATTCGGGCGGAAGGGGCCAACTCGCCACTGGAAAAAAGAGACGAACGGAAGGTCTGTAGTCCAGTGGAAAAAAGAGACGAACGGAAGGTCTCGAGTCCACGTTTTCCCCGCCAATGTCGCCATACAGCTCCGCCGAGAGGTACACATCAGACACGAAAAGTGGAACGCGTTTAAAAAACAAAAACAAAAACAGAAAAAAAGGTGGAACGTGTAGGAAGGGCCTCAAGAAACGACAAAATCGGGAGGGCATTTGCACACGGACTGAAGGCGGGAAGATGCATCTGCTACAGAAATCGGGAGTGGATGCATATTTTCACCGTACTACGCGTGAAGATGGACTCGACAGTTTTCTCAGTTGCTGAGCAGTGCCGCGAGCCCAGAGGTGGCGGGTGCTCAGTGATCGTCTCAACCCTCACTAGTTCGTTTAAAACAAGTCCGAGGCGGCATAGCAAATACGCCCTCCGCGTGCAACGAGCTGCGTTGTCGAAGAGTTCCTGTTGTGGTGGAGTCCTCGCGACTCCTCGGAGCAGCAGGAGGACTGCGTGCAGCTGCCGATCTAGTAGTCTCTTCCTCCTTCTGTCTCTCTGTGAATCTCTGTCCCTACCTCGCTGGTGCTTGCTTGGTCATGATGGCGAGGCGAGGGTTCGCCGCTCCGGCACAGCGATTCGCGCTGTTGGCCGCAGTGCAGGTGGCTCTGGTTCTTCTAGCTCTCGGCTATGGATGTCAAATGGCGTCTGCTCGCCCCGTCACTGCTGAACAACGGCTGGCGGCGGCCATCAACTCTACCGCTAAGGCAACGCGTCCCGTTGTGGTGACCATCACTGAGGACATCGTGCTCACGCGATCGCTGCCATTGATTCTCGGTCCTATCGTCATCAAGGGAGGGTGTGGTCGGCGCAAATGCGTCGTKGATGGTGCGGGCAAGTACGGCATTTTCCAGGCYTATGCACTGCCCCCTCTGTGCTCRGTGACCATCGAGAACTTGATCTTGCGCAATGCTGCGCAAGGAGCTGTCTACTCCAAGTGCGACCTGAAGCTGAGGCGTGTGGACTTCACGMAGAACAAGGGAGCGAGCGCCGCCGMGGTTGGCMATGGACAGGCSTCGTGGCACATCGARGAYTGCTTGTTCGAGAAGAACAGCGCGTCAGGTGCCGGCGGTGCGCTTTACGTCRGCGCTGCCGGKAGGGGGAGAGTCGTCCGTACCACGTTCAGGTCGAACAGGGCGGGACAGGATGGTGGAGCCGTGTACRTCTACGGACAGATGACCGGTTCTTACGTCTTCGATCGCGTGACCCTGGACTCGAACRCGGCTGSAAAGAGTGGCGGSGGACTGTTCGTAGTCGGGAYWGCGTCGGGTGCTCCGAAGGTGTTCGTCTCCGGATGCAAGTTCTCGAAGAACGTGGCRACGGGCGGYCCTGGYGGTGCGCTGGCGCTCAGCGCRTCGGTGGATGCCCGAATTTGTCACACMTCCATCGYYGGGGGCCGGAACGCAGCGAAAGGCGGGAAAGGCAACGACGTCGCTCTGTTAGACGGCAACTATCACCCTCAAATGACAGTCTCATTCTGTCCCAGAAAGCCTTCTGGTCTTTCCCTGTTCGTCACTCGCGTTCCCAGACTCCCGATCGTTAGCCAGAACTGCCGGGTCTGTGCACTCCCACAATAAGGACATTTCTTCGAACGACACTATAGTCGGTTTCCTCCATGATTATGAATGTAGTGCTATCGTTTTCTTTGTCAGACTTGACGGCTCTGTTGGTCAGTCTGTCCATTTATCTATATATTTGGGACACCATGTCTCACAGACTCTCACTCCGTTGCCTTGGCGGCGCACACGTACGGATCCTTCGCTTAGAGTGTCCGGAGAGAAAAGGAAAAAGGAGACGTCATTACCTTTAGGATCGCTCAAGAAAGCTCCGGGTGTGAGAGACCACCGTAACGGTTTGCGCTTCGTTTCCTTGCGGTGATTCTTTAGGACAGGTATCTTTTGCGCGTGATGGCTCGGGAGGAGGCAGGCGGTACTGTGAATTGATTGAGGATCTTCAGGTGGCAACAGCCTCTTGAATCCTCGATGTTCCTGTGAATCGCGAACTGTTACTGATTTGTGCGCTCCTAAAGCCGAAATATTCTTTGTTAGTTCCTTTTTATTGCTGAGCCGGAACTGTTTCGGAGGTTTATCTGTACTGCTGTTGACATGACTTTATGATTATCGGTTCCGGCGTGAGCTTGTTTCAGTTTAAACTTGATTGGTGTCGATTTGGAAGTGTGCTGTATCGTTTTTCTTTTCGAAAATGTTGAAGGTGGCGATCGCCTAGAGTTTCGATTTTACTTAGTTTTCGAAAATCTTGAAGGGACGGCATTGGTCAAGCTATGGGCCTCGTTCCATTACACAACATTCTACATGCATCCGGATGCATTTTTGGACCGGATACATTCGATGCGGTGGGTTCGTCCGAATGCACTTGGTAAAAAGAGCGTCCATATGAATGTAGAGTGTTGTTTAGTGGAGCAACGCCCGTCGCCCATATATATGTGTTCGCGATCTATGGAATATCGTTGGCAATGCCTTTCTTCTTTCTTTCAGTCTGAACATGTTCGATCTATGGAATATCGTTCTTTGCCTTTTTTAAGTCACGACAATCGTTTTGGTCTGTCTGAACATGCTGGATCTGCTATAGCCCGAACTGGTGGTTGTTGGAACTGCAGGGCATTCCGCATTTCCGTTTCTTCCAACATTCAGCGCTTCTTGATGACGTATTTTTCTCGCTTTTTTGCTTGTCGTTGCCCTGTAATGAGAGCCTCTTTGCGCTCCTGGAGGCTGTAGGTGGTAAATGGGTGGTTTGTTGTGACCAAAACGATTGGAAATGCGTTAGGGGTCCCATACAACCCAGTTGATGAGCGCCGGTCCATTGTGTTCAGGTGAACCACGCTACTCTCCCCTGGTAACGGTTCCATTCCCCGCAGCCTCTCCCTTGGTAGCGGTTCTCTGGATGTATAAAGAATCAAATAGCAGAATGTAGGATGGGGAGCGATCGCAGAATACGCAGTAGAGCACGAACGGAGCTAGGTACATAACCCGAGTTCAAATCCTGCTGGAATCAATCAGATGAGCAGAATAAAATAATTCTAAATTTCCGGTGCCCGTCATTTCATTGATAATGTCTCAAGGCCGATGCCCTTTCCGGACGGAAAAGAAAAAAACGAAAGGATTTCCAGTGGAACAATAGTAGAAGGTCCTGTCTTCACTCCTCAACAGTATACATGCGTTCGTGCATGATCTGCATCAACTTCTCATTAGTGACCGTTCGGTTCCTTTTTGCTTTTTCTGCTGCTGTCATGATCTCCCCTCCAACGAAGGCGTCCTTGTACTTCACATATCACACCACAGAACACCGTACCCTTCGTGAAAGAATACCCACCACGCTGGACCCTTGTGTCTTGCAAAACAACTCCCAATTCTTACTTCATCCATTTCGCCGCCAAGGGCCCGGTGCCACACCAGTGGGGCGTTTTCTTTGCTTTTGAAGTGGTGCGACAGCCAGCACAGCAAAGGAATAATTTAAGAGAAACACTTTAAAGCAGCTCTTATCTGCAGCTGTTAGATTAGTGGGCCGCCACAACGAGGTTGACTGATTCCGATTAGATTTGTGTCATCACAACCGTGACGTAATGCGTGCAGTCATAAGCACCCTCGCCAGGCCGCGGTCGTCGCGTTTTTTTTTGTATTTTTTTTTTCCGCCGCTTTGGTTCTTGCCTTCCGTGTGTTTTAATGGGGATGGCGGTGTGGAAGGTTTGGGACAGTTGCCACCTCGCTAGGGACAACGAGTTGGCGAGACATGGAGGAGCTGATATGGAGGGAGGGGAACATGAGAAGAAACTCAGACTACGCTCTGTTGATGGAACGAATTGTGCTCTGGATGAAGAGAAGGGTTAATTTCAAAAATACTGTTGTTTCGAAGTTTGGCAGCAAAAATGTCGTCCGTTCGAAGTTTCCTTTGCAAAAATAGAGGTTTCGTCGCCGCTTTATCGCGTTCCCATAGTTTGCCAGCAAAAATACCGCGTTTTGCCCAGTTTCACAGCAAAGGACCCGTAGGCCTCTGGCCTCAGGGACTCAGGGACTCAGCGTTCCGGCCTCAGGCACTCAGCTTTTTTTTTTTTTTTTTTTTTTTTTTTTTTTTTTTCCCCGGGGGGGGCCGGGTTGCGGCCCGGGCAAAGGCCTCCCGGCCCCGGGCACGCTCAGATGCGTCGGCCATGCCTGGAGGGGAAAAAAAAAAACAAAAAAACAAAACAAAACGCTGAGTGCCTCACGCCAGAACGCTGGAACCCTGAGTCCCTGAGGCCAGAGGCCTAGGGGTCCTTTGCTGTGAAACTGGGCAAAACGCGGTATTTTTGCTGGCAAACTATGGGAACGCGATAAAGCGGCGACGAAACCTCTATTTTTGCAAAGGAAACTTCGAACGGACGACATTTTTGCTGCCAAACTTCGAAACAGCAGAGGAGGTGGATGCAAGCGTTGCGGATATCTAAAAAGCAGTGTTTGCTCTCTATCCTTGGGCAACAGACGGATCCTCGTCTGCATGCTATGCTCGATTACTTTGAGGGGAAGGGATTCCCAGGGTGCATCCATGCCCTTGAGGGCCTTGACTGAATAGACATTTTGATTGACAAGCCACGTGGCGGTGAGGATGAGTCATACTATGACAGGATGAGACAGTACTCCATGGTGGCACAGGTGGTTGTGATCACAATCTTCGCATATTACTTGACGTGTGTATGGTCCAGTATGGGTGCCCCTGGTTCCGTGCATCATTTGTGTGTCCTGCGCGGATCTCCGACCTGTACGATGGTGCCAGGGGGGGACGAAACCTGTCATGCGGAGGACAAACGTCCTGGTTGATGGCAGTGTTGTCGGACGCCAGGCTGTACTCGATGGGGGATGCAGACTGCCCCACTCTCCTGTGGTTGATGACCCCTTTCAGAGGCACCGCAAGAAAGGCGGAAGAGGGAAAGTTCAACAACCAGTTCTCTACCCAGCGTACAGATGTGCTTGGCGGGTCTGAAGAACATTTGGTGCTGGTTCGGTCGCAGACACAATGCCAACATGGAGAACATTTGCCAACAGTTCTCACAATGGGCAAGTGGTGCTGTATTCTACAATATCATCATTGACGAGGAAATCCCCGTCGATGACGGCATGGAGGTAGATGAAGACAGATATAATGAGGACTGAGGATGGAGACAACAATGACTACGATGCTGTAGTGTCATTCCGAGCGTTCGTTGTAGTGGAACATATGAGCCACCCTCACATGCGGCTTGCCGCTAATCACATGGGACGCACTCATTCATCATGCCCTCCATGTTAGCCGTGTTAATGGTCGTGATGAACATCTACGTGGCATCCTTGGCCGCGGATCCAGCGGCCTCATCCGTGGCCGAGGACGCTGGCTGCAACCCCACGGCCTAGGCCGCTCGCGCTGAGTTTACGAGCGGCCGCGCGAGATCTGGGCGTGTGTGACGCCTGCGCAGGTCGCCCCCTGGGCCCCCCACCAAAAAAAAAAAACGAAAAAAATGGGAGGGGTAATATTTCGTTTTTAGAGGGGTCTTAGAAAAGATATACCCCCCCAAAGAAGATGAAGAAAACAGAAAAAGAGGCAACGAAGAAGCAGAAGAACAAGCACTAGTACCTTTGTGGGTTCGAAAATACCTGGCCTCCGAACTTTCAGGAGGCTGAAACGAAACGACGGCCGCTGATCAGATTGATCAATGTCGGGCTCGGCCTCCTGAAAATATGGGAGCTGGCAAGTACTTGTCCAAACCGGACGCCAAAGGTACAAAAAAAAAACCAGCAAAAAAGAAGAAGAAGCAGAAGAAGAGGAAGAAGCAAAGGAAGAGGAAGACGCAGAAGAAGAAGAAGAGGAAGAAGAAGAAGAAGAAGAAGAAGAAGAAGAGGGAGAAGAAGAAGACGAGAAGAAAAGAAGAAGAAGAACAACAACAAAATCTCTCTCTCTGTCTCTCTCTCTCTCTCTCATATAGGATTAAAAAAAGATTAAAAAATATAGGACTAACTTCATATCACTCGTGAAAAAAAATGAAAATACAAAATTCCTGCTTTTGTTTTGTATAACAGATTTCGTTTTTCCTTAAAAAAAAATAAAATCGTAAAGCAAGTCAGATTCGAAAAAACAAATTATGGGGTTGCAGGGCTTTGCAAACCTTACAACTCCATATATTCTTTTTTGGGAAAATTTTCGAAATGCCCCTCCGAAATGCATTTATTTGCGGCATGCCCCTTCGACGGCCGACTTACCCTGTCGTACCCCTGGGGCCTCTGAGGTTTCCCGCAGGCCCCCGCCAGCGAGGGGCACAACTTTCGGGGACACCCTTACTGGACTGTTGGTCCCGTTCTTGTGTTGGCTGTCTGCTATGCCCTCCTGCCAGGGATGCATCTTTGTGAGATGCCCTTCAGCAGGGAGGCGCGACCGGTTCAAATTCAAACTCGCATGTTTTTGCCGCCGCCTCAAAAAAAAGTGTTGCAATCCACGGGACCCTCCCTGCTGCAATCCACCTTATTGCAGATAGTTCGTCGCGCGCCGCCTCCAACCTCCTTCGATTGCTTCGCAAAGGTGAGTGTCACTCCCCATGTTCCATGCCCCTCTGCCTGTCGTCCTACTGTCCTGTTTGCTTGACGTCGTGCATCTTCTTTCTCTCTCTCTCTCTCTCTCTCTCTCTCTCTCTCTCTCTCTCTCTCTCTCTCTCTCTCTCTCTCTCTCTCTCTCTNCTCTCTCTCTCTCTCTCTCTCTCTCTCTCTCTCTCTCTCTCTCTCTCTCTCTCTCTCTCTCTCTCTCTCTCTCTCTCTCTCTCTCTCTCTCGTCCGTGCCCCCATACAGACCGCACCGGTGCACCCTTGTAGCG